ATTAACCAAGGGTTACATAAAGCCGAACAACTAGCACAGGACAGAGAAGGTGTCCTGAAGACAGAGAAGGAGGGAAATCGTGAAAAAACTGTAAAGGCCTGATGGTGTCACCACATCCCAAAAGGGATTAAGACTGAGGAGGAGGAGATAATAATATTTACGCATGCCGTGAACCAATAAAGTCATTTTACCAAATATTGCAGGTAGGACCTTTCATATTAGGACGGCAGAATAGGTTAATATAAATATCCTGCCACTTTTTCATTGTTTATTATAATAACATAAAATTAACAATTGATTTATTAAACTAGGATATACAATTTCCTGAAAACAGCAAATATTACAAAGCAATAAAAATACTAAGCTACTTGTTATAAAAAGTTATTTTTGTATAAATGTCTTATTATTGATAAACAAGCGACAGTCCATTAGTTCAGCGACGTTTGGTGTCTAAAAATATTGTTATGAATGAATTTGTTTTTGCAGAAAATATTGTAAATTGATAAACAAAAATACAATTAATAAAATTGGGGTTATTTCACATTAGCTTATATTGATTTTTTTTCTTAACTCGATATTTTAACAATAAGTATTACAAAAAATAAATGTTTTAAATTGGTATGGCAAAACCAGGACGAGGTACTGAATAAGATTATTAGTATTAATCTACTAAAAATCTAAAAGTGGTGCAAATGTAATGATTTAACACTTAATTTCTCAAAAAAAATTAATTTCTTTTAAGAATGATCTAAATAACATCACTTTGGGCAATAAAGGAATTTGTTCTGACATCGTAAACAAAATTTTAAGTCTCTATATTAGTTATAAAGTTAAATTTGAGCAACACACTGTATATTTAAACAAAAAGATATCATTGGGTTGCTTTGCTGTTAAATCAGTTGCACAACACTTGGATTTTAAGATTGCAAAAAGTGTTTATGTAGCCTTGATTGAATCTAAGTTGTATCTGTAGCCGACGTTGTAGCCTGGTTGAAAAATTTAAGAGACTGGACAGGTAGGGACACACATTCGATACTAAGAACAGTTCAAGATAAAGAGCAATTTGCTGTAGTTATAGCCAACCTTCAGTAATGGAGAAGGCATCTTAAGAAAAATAAAATTCTTTTACACGTGTCAAAGAAAAACAAGGCAGTTCTATTTCTTTCTTTCGCTAAGCATGCGATAGAAACAGATTCGTTTACTGAGAAAGATGTGTAACGATAAGACTACCAAAGAGAATTAAAGTACTATTGTAAAAATAATAACTCAATCAACCATGGGAACTTATCGTTTATACATTGCCTATCTCAGTATCTCAAGGGTGAGTTCGTCTTGTCTTAAATTAGGTATTGAACCTGAGTTCTCAGTTGATAGGAAATAAGACAAATTTTAACCAAACATATTTATTTAAAAAAATAAAAAACCACAATAATTAACTCTGCCAAAGGTTAACAATTGATGAAATACTAATTGCTTTGTTTGATGGGCTACTTGTGTGTACTAGCTGCTAGGTCCTAAAATGGAATGTAGTTCTGGAGAGCTACAGTTACATGTGGTCCTATGTTCTGATTAAATTGTCCAGCAGTAGTCCAATAAAGCCAACAACTTTGTCAATATGCCAATAAATCCAATATGCCAATAAATCCAATAATAAAATGGTATATTCCCAATAAAACTTTGAATATTCCCAATAAAACTTCACATCAACAAGAAAGGTTTAACTTCTTTGCCATTTTACAAAGTTACAATTAAACAAATAGCGTATGGCAAGGATACAATGAAATAGGATTGTTACTATGATTGTTAGTTAAATTCTGTTAAAGAGTCCTAATGCATATATATAAGAAAAAACAATGTGCTTTTGAATGAAAGTAAGGTTACAAGTATCGGAAATCGGAAATGGTATATATATTATATATATATATATATATATATATATATATATGAAAAAATTTGAAATTTACGGCAAAATGATTCATTTATTGAATTTTTGTATCTTCTTCTCAAGGGCTGTCTGCGCGTCGAAAGTTGGCAATCATCACAGTAATTTTTAATTTTGAGACAGCAGCTCTAAATAAGTCGTTATTACATGAGTTACTTCTCCTTTCAATAGATCTTTTTTCTCCTAATTTTTCCTTGCTTAATGACCTAGAGTGTTAGATATTTATCTCCTCTCATCACATGACCCATATATCCCACTTTTCTCCTCTTAATTGTTAGTACTTCTCTTTCCGTATGCATACGTCACATTACCTCAACATTGGTTATTCCATCTACCCACGAGATCTCTAGTACTCTTCGGTATATGCACATCTCGAATGCCTTCAGTCTCCTCACGTGAATTTTCCTTCGGTGTCCACGCTTCCATTCCGTATTATAATACGGATAGCACGTAGCACCGCAGCAGTCGTATTTTTAACTTAAGATTTAAGTTTTTACACCAGAGAAGCCTTTGTATTCTTGTAAATGCGCTTCTGGCCTGTTTGATTCTGATTCGTATTTCTTGAGAGCTGTCATTGTTTTCATTAATAGTTGTATCTAGGAATTTGAATTCTCTTACTATTTCAATAGGCTGATTCTGTACATATATCTCACGAATGTCCTGAGTTGTCTTTGTTATTATCATATATTTCTTGCTCTGTTGAGTGATGGTCCATATTTTTCTTTGCTTACTGTGGTCACCTAATTATGAAGTATCTGTAGGTCTTCATGTGATTCGGCTAAAAGAATTGTATCAACAGCGTATCTCTGGTTATTTATGATCATGTCATTAATTCGAATGTCTACGTTTTGTTAATACATTGCCTTACTTAATATATCTTCCGAGTATACATATTAAATAATACTGGTTTATGTATACATCCTTGTCGAACAACTCTTTGTACTTCTATTTCTTCTGATGCTATATCTTCTATTCTCACTACTGCTTTTTGGCTATAGTATAAGTAACACAAAAAAGACTGTTTTCAAAAATTTATTAGGTAACTCATAAACTAATTACATAAATAAAATAAAATTCTATTTTGTACGTTTGTATGTACAAAATTAGACTTTTAGCAGATAAAATTATAGAAAAATACTGCCAGTGGGGATGTTTCCATAAAGATATTTCCTTAGGACAACTCCATGGTCAAATATTTTGGTCAAAGCTTAGCTAAACAGTTAACTAGAGAGAAGCCAGTCAGATGTGAATATAAAAATTGGATGATAACTAGTTCCACTGGATATGATTATGGTTTTCACGTTTGTTGCCGAAAACAAAATAAATGGTACTATTAAAATAGACCACTTGAAGCTAAAATAGTAATTGATATTTTGAAACAGTTGCCTGAACCATCAACAAATGAAATTTTTTCGATAAACATTTCATGACATATCAACTAATGATATATCTAAAACTATAAAAAATGTAAAGGCAACAGGAACTGTAAAATGTCCAGTAATGAAGAAATCTAATGAAGAGTAAGCCAATGAAGAAAAATGCATATGATTATAGACTTCACAAAACTAATGAAATTTTGTGTGTGAAATGGTATGAAAATAGTGTTTTATGTTATCCAATTATGATACCATTGAACCACTAGGTCAAGTAAATACAAAGGTCGCAATATGGTGAGAAACTATGTGTATTGAATGATGTTTTGAAAAATACTATACAAATACCTAATGTCCCCGTTACGCTGAAATAAATAGTAAATAAAACAATTTTATTTTCAGGGTAATTTTCAACTTACTTCACGAACAGCAGAAATTTTTAATAATGTTTATCCAGCTTTCTTTTCCAATTGAAAATATTTAAGCAATTTTAATATTAGAACTTGTTCTTTTTCCGTATATCTTGTCATCTTGTACAAATACAAATAAAACCACAATCACAGTACTAAGTAAAACAAAATACAAAATAAAATTATATAAAACAAATACCAAAAAATATAAATATATTATATAGCGTCTATATTCTTTGCAAATACTGACCTGAACGACAGCCGTCACTTGCTGTTGGAACACTTCGAAAGAATGGCCAGCATGGACGAAATTTTACGTCAACTGTCAGTAATAGGCGTAATTGATTGGCTAGAGAAAGGGCGCATCTAAATATCAACGAATCAAACGTAGGTTTGTAAAGAACCTCTTATGGATGTAAGCTTATTCTAACACTGCACTATAGTTCTGTTTAATTATCGAACTACTACTTTTTCCGTCACATCCAAATTAATGCATTAGAAAGAAATCGAAAAACTGTGACGCACTGAAAATTACCTCTGGGATGTTCTATAGTGTTTATTCTTCGTCGCCAAACCCGTCGTTGGACAATGGCAATCTTTTTCAATCACACCGTGATAGAGATATTCTTACTAGGATAGAATTCATGAAGATTGTTGCTAAACAGTTGATTAAACCATATATGAGAGAACGGTTTTATATTATAAGACTACCACGTAAACTTCGAATGTCAATCACAACTTCAACGTTTTTTCACAACTCCGGCCGTTTGTTATAAACTCGCTCTCGAATCGTTGCGAAAACTTTCAAATAGTAAGTTTCGTTTGCAGCTTGACCACCTGGAACCCATTCAGTCATCACGATGCCGTCTTTTTTAGTTTTTCCATGATTATTTCTTTAGGGAGGATAACAAAAAATGTTAAAATATACAACAAAGAAGATATTAGTCACTAAAGATTTCAGAATCGTAACTTTGAAATCTCGCTAATCAATTGACTAATATTTACATTATTAACCTCTAAAAATTTGTTTTTGATTAAAATTTTTGCACAGTTATTTACATTTAAGAGAAAAAATCAGAAAACTCTTTGAACTTAAACAGTATTTTCTTTGGGATATTAAAGATAACGGTTTCTTAATCTAAAGACTAAACGGTATTTACCATCCATACCACCAGCTGTAACCAAAAACTGACTTCTATCTTGTTTATGTTCTTTTAATTCAATTAAAGTATAATTATAAATAAAACAATTAGATTGTGTTTCTATTTTATTCAGTTACAAAAATCCATTATCACACATATGTTTTATTATGGGTAGAGTCGCTTTAAAAAAGAAGGTATGATCCATTATAATATCCACATTTTTATTTTCTTCTGGTTCACCGTTTTGAGAGCTATCCATCATCTCGCTAAGATTATACTAAAAGTAATAAAAGTGTTATACTATTTTCTTGTATAATAAAGATACCCTGCTTAATATTATAAAGACTTGGTCAAAATTGAATTGAAAATGTCCATCAAAACAATAAGCTGGAATCGGAATAGATGAACAACTTACGAAACCTGTAGATACAGGTAATGGAATAAGACAAGGGGATTTACTACGCCCTGTAATTTATATTTGTTACGCAGATGATTGGATTTTTAATAGCCATAAATTAAGATAGCCTTCAAAGACTAGTTTACAGGTTTAATACACGAGTAAAAGAATTTAACATGATTAAACTCGAAAACTAGAAGATAGTGAACAGTAATGATGATTTAAACTTAATGTCGATGGAGTTAGCATTGGACAAGTAATGAGAAATAAGTACTAAGGGATTACACGACGCAGCTATGGAGACGTTTAAAATTAAGTAAAATATCAAGTACAAAGATCAAAGATATTAGCAGGATACCCAGCACTATATAGCGTAACTGATACATTAAGTATGAGATGTAATCAAGAATCTAAAAGACCAGCATAAAACCAATAATGACGTAATCATTAAAAACAAGCCTTGATACAGCCAAATACAGAAAGTTCCGAAACATCACAATTAAGAAAAATTACAGGAAACTTTCTTGCTTAGTTTTTCTAAGTTGTAAAGAAGTTTCTTTAAAAAGAATAGGTACAAATTAAACTTCGATTTGCCTTTTAGTTATTGTGGAGAACTGGAAGCATTTGAGATGTGGCTATATCGGAGAATCCTTAAGGTTCCGTGGACTGACCGAGTCACAAATGAGGAGGTTCTTAGAAGAATGAATACGAACCGAGAGGTACTGACTACCATTAAATCTCGAAAGTTACAATTCTTCGGACATATTATGCGAAATAAATCCAGATATGCTCTCTTTTAAGCCATCCTGCAAGGCAAAATATTTGGAAAGCAAGATTCAGGAAGACAAGAACATCTTGGTTGAAGAACCTCAGAATCTGGTTCAATACAACATCTGTGCAGCTTTTCCGCGCTGCTGCAGATAAGATAAAGATTGCCATGATGATCGTCAATATGCTTAACGGATAGGCACATCAAGAAGAAGAAGAGGTTCCATTATGGATGAGTTTAACTAGCTTGTGTGGTATTGAAAATTTAGCTAATATATTAGAATTGAATAGAATAGAAATGTGCTTTATTGTCACTAACAATTTTATGGACAAAGCTCAAAGAAATCAATTAAATAGTACAAAAAGTATAAAACAAAAACAAATATAATAAAAAATAGAACAGTACAATTTTAAATTAGTAAAATTACATAATTTGTGCAGACAACAACAAATGAAACAAATTGTAACCACTGCTTGAGACACCCAAATGTAATTATAATCAATACTAATTTTGTTTCTTTGTTATACATTAAGAAACTCATCAACTGAATAATATGGTCTTTCAGACAGATAGATTTTTGTCATCTTACGAAACTTAATGAAAGATCCACAAGGAATCTACGTTCCTGTAGTTGGCTGTATACCATATATTAAAAAATTTATTAAAAATCCTTTGTAAAAGGTATATATTTAGACCCAAACGGGCTAAGTTAAAAAGACAACACGTCTTCGGAATCCATACTCCATCATCAGTGTCTAAGAGTACGTGAATGTAGCCACTAAATACATGGGTAAAAACCCGTTAACAAATAATTAATTACATTTAGTTTACAAATTTTCTTATAATGGTTTAGGATGTTAAAGTTACCGTTGGATTAGGTAACATGGCGACATATGACTCAACGTTGAAGTTGCTAGTCTTGAGACAGTGTGTCTACGAAGACTGTATGGGATTCCGAAAACGTTTTGTCTTTTTAACTTAGTCTAAATATATACCTTTTACAAAGGATTTTTAATAATTTTTTTAATGAAAGATGTTGCGGATTTAATTTATCTTGGAAGATGTTAGTTTTTTGCACTATATAGAATATAATTATTTATTATATGAATGGACGGGATCGGTAAATAAACGTTACAATCCATGGAGTAGCCATGATCAGGTCTATCGGGAAAAATGTTTAGATGCTTGCGAATCAATTAAACCGTTTCCAAAATAAATAAAGAGGGATGCGTCAAAATTCCGTGATTTTTGAAGTAGGTCTTACAATGAGTTGTTTGTTTGAGACCAAGTAGATAACTTAAAATAGTATCAAATTGGGCCGCTGTACTAGAACCCCAAAATGGAAGCCCATATCGAAGATGGGACTTAAACAATGAGAAATATGCCATTTTGACAAAAGAAAGTTTAGTTCCTTCGAAACAGATCTTATTGCAAAGCAAGCTGAGGCTAGTTTCTTCCTTAGGGAGTCAGTATGCAAGGACCATTTAAGATCACTGTCGATAAGAATACTACTGTGTTATCCACGTTAAAGCTAAGTAAATTGGAGTCTAGCCAAGCCTTCATCATCAGTATCATCAGCAAATAGAAAAATTTTTCTATTAATTTTCAAGTAAGTGATGTCACTAATGAAAAGTAAAAAATGAATGTGACCTAATACTGAACCTTGCGGTACTCCACACTCAATATCTTTACAACTGGAGTCGGTGTCTTTTATTCTAAGCAATTGTTTGCTACCTACCAAGTAAGTTTTAAACCAATTTAAAGACACACCCCGAATTCCATAGAACGTTATTTTTTTAATAGAATGTCGTGATTTACGCAGTCAAAGGTCAAACGGTGGCGGAGGAGAAGTTACTATTTAGTGATAGATATACCTCATATAACACAGAAAACATGGCATCACTAGTACATTTATTAGACAAAAAGCCGAACTTTTTTTTGCGATAAAATATTATGTTCAAGTCGAACTTTTAGAAACCCTGTCAATAATTTTTTATAGTGCTGGTAACAAGGCAATAGGTCTATAGTTGCAGGCATCAGATTTTTCTCCACCTTTCTGAAGAGGAATACCGATGGCAGTCTTTAGGAAGTCAGGGAATGTACCTTTTTCAAGGGAATCATTTACTAGCGAGACCATGACCTCCAAAACATTATGCGAAAGATTTGAGAAAATTTTAATAGATAATCCATTTGAACTATAGGAAGATTTGCTTTTTACTGGTCTTAAAAAGAAGGTATCAGCAATGTGTTTTGAATTAGAGAGATAGGAAACTGGATCTTGTTGTGGCGAAATAGTTGAGGTTATACTTTTACTCACATTAACAAAGTAATCATTTAGATTTTTTGGGTTAGGAAAACCCCAAAGCAAAAGGTTTGATTCACTGAACTGGTTTTATTTCGAAAATCGTTTATTATTGACCAAGTTTTTTTTGAAATATTTTTGGAGCTTGTTAGGCGATTATGAAAGTAGGATTTTTTGGCTACTTTGAGTAGTTTCAGAAAGCATTTGTTGTACTTATTGATATAATCAGAGATGGAAATACTGTCATTAATTTTTTTAATATACAACAGAGAACGCATATTCTTCGCAGATATGCGAATGCCTTTGGTAATCCAAGGTTTGTAATGTTTTGGCCTGATTTTTAATAGAGGAAATGCTTTATTAAAAATAGATACAAGTGTATTTAGAAAATCACTAACATTACGGTCAATGTCCCCAGAAGAAAAACTCCAGTCAGAAGTCAAGCATATTGTAGAGTTTGTTCCTTTTGAGGTAGTCGTTTGCCTCTTTGAAGTCTACACGTTAATCGTAAGGCGTCAATATTACAAGAGCACTTAAATAAACTAGTAAATTGGTCCCTAAGTACCTGTTTCACGTTTTTCTCTAATAAAACAAAATGTATGTTATTTTTAAAAAGACATATCGAGGATAAACCGAACCTAATGCTTGAAAATCGAATTTTCTATACAAACGAAATAAAATTTCTAAGAGTGATATTTGATTAATACTTAAATTGAAAAAGTCATATTCAGCAGTTATGTTTATATTCTTTTATGTCGAAATGGCCTCAACTTGTTAAAGTACCTAGCTCACAAAACTTGGGATGCCGATGATAAAACACTAATCATGTTACACAGATCCTTCATTCGATACAAAATTGATTACGGATATGTTGCATATGTATCTGCCCGCACAACGCTATAACCTTTGCAAACGTTATTTAACCCATAACATACATAATCCTTTGGATAAATAGCATACAAGCTGAAATAGGTGAACCCACTCTAGAGCTTCGTAGGCAGATCTTAGCAGTAGACAAATATTAACCGTTAATTACATCTAACATAACTCTAAAGAAAAGAATTCCAATAAATATAATTAATATTAAATTCGCGTGCAATTGAAGAGGGTTTTTTGTAAATAAAAAAAATCTATGTATCCTTTATATCTGAAAGAGTGATTTAAATCGATAATAACATAAAGAATAAGTTTTGAACAAAACACAGCATTTAAAATCTATTAAAGTATCGGCCAAAAGAATCACAAAATCAAACAAAATGATACATGTAAGATTATTGAACTTATTTAAGTAATTTTCCTAGATTTAAATCATACCTCTCTCTGTTCCATACTTTTGTTTAACCACAAGAGCAAGCCCATTATAAAACCAAACGCATTGTACTGCTTCCACTCGTTCTTAAGTGCATCAAATGGAAAGACTTTTTCAACATCACAATCATAACTTTTCAACGTTTCGCTTAGACTATCGTGATATACTTTTAGGAGGTCATCTAGTTTGTCCAAGTTCTCCTTTTCAGTGCCTGAATAGAAACTGTACGTTAGATCCATAACTGGGGTGCCTAGCCACGACATCTGGAAATCAATTAGTTGAATATCTTCTATGGCACCTAATTCCTAAAACATTGGTTAAAACTTTTAGTTATTACGTCATAAGTTGTATTTTATGATGTTATTACTGGTACGCTATCGTGAGAAATATCTCTAAAACTTAGATATTTAAGTAAAAATTTCGATATGATTACTGAGTGTGGTGGTTTACCGTATATAAATATCAGGAAAACTATAGAAAATGTTGATGATAAGCTTTGAATAAGAAATCATTCAGTGATAATTTGTGTGTCTTGGTACAAGAAGTACCTAAGTCAAAATTTGATGATTTTCCATAAGGCCTAATTTGTCTCCCTTAAAATTGTGTTGTTGTACAACTAGTTTATTTAATATATTTTTGACACCGATCATATGATTTTATTGGGATAATAAATTATTTTATAAGTTGTAGTTACAAATTTAACAAAACTTTTTCTTTTTTTGTATTTTTGAGTGACAAAAATTTTAGGTAAATTATTAATTGTGTATTGACGTAGGTAATTTAAAACAAATTATCTGTGATATAATAATTCTACATAATAAAGATGCGCAAGGAAATTCCTGGTGTTTACATATCATCTTCATATATGGGCTCGTCAGGTAAATATTCATCATCTACAGCTTGGGCTGGTGCTCGTCTAGCAAAAATACATTCATAAGAGTACCTGCTGGATACAGAAATGTAAGGCATTAAGTCCTTTTAACTGTTTAAAACAGTTAACAGTCTTAAATAGTCATTTAAATACAAGGTCTTATATTAGCTTTAAATGTTTACTATTTAAAATTTTTACCTATCCTAGATGTGATAAACATAAAAGGATAATTTTTATATATATAAGCTAATCTAACACAAAATACACTTTTAGACCATACTCCATACGACAAAAAGCAACATAGGTTGCCTAATACACAGGTCATCCTCTCAAACATGACTTTAACACCATTGATGATTTCACATCGATTATAACCCAAATTTTAAATCCCAACACCAATATTGCTGTTATTATTTTAAAATCATCAAAATAATTTTTGAATCTCTTGGCTGTGGTAATACTAGGTATAACTAATATAGTTCTATGTTACATTGACATTTTTGTTTATGTCACCTTTCATAGGTATATTGTAAATCAGTTTCCAGCTGTTCTCCGTGCGTTGAGGTTTCTCCCCGGCTCTGGAACTCAAAACTTTTTACAATGTATGTTACCTGAAGTCATATCTAATTTAATAATGAACATTACAGTTTTTTAACAACGCGATGTATAATCTTTGATAACTATAAGTAATTTAAAGGGTTTTTACCCATGTATTTTGGTGGCTCAGGCATTTTAACCTAGTAAGTATAGCCATTTTGCTTTTTTAACCATAGTCAAAATTTCATAATCACGTTTGTTTTAACTAAATGGTTTGTACTTATTTTAGGCAGATTTTAAACCTGATGATGGACTGTTTAGTCCGAAAACGTTTGTTTTTTTATGTAGCCCTTTTAAGGGTTTTTAAATAAATATACCCACTTACAAAGATTGACCTCTTTTTTTGTGATACGTGGTATACAGCCAGCTACAGGAATTGTTTTCCTTGTAGATTTTATAAATTTTTTTATCTGATAGTGGAATTCTCTGATTGGTTAGTGGGGTTATTGTAACTTCTCATGGACTACTGCTTGATGCAAGCCCAGACAGTTAAGGTGAATGTGTAGCACACGTTGTTTTCTTTCTTGATAAATTCATTATCTTAAAATAATCCGAACCAAAAGAAGTGTTATACGAATCTTTTGAAAGTGCATCTGTGCGACACTGTAACCATCTTATGTGAAACCAGGAAATATTTTCAGTGTCAGTGTTTAGTTTGCGATGCACGTTTTTTGAATTTGTGAGAAATTCAAGAAATCTTTTTGTTCCATTTCTATAACTTCTATAGAAGGATTTCTCGGAACCATTCTAATTAAGTTCGCCCAGTCTACGGGTACTTCTATTTTGACAGTTGTATATTTCTTGACTTTTTCAATAGCTGCATGGATCGTATCCGCTTCTTGATAAGTGTGGCGCGGTTCCAGAAATTTATGATTTATTACAAGATCTCTTCCATTTCTTTTAAAATCTTCTATCAAAAGAGACTTTATCTTTTATCTTTTTGTAGATCAGTAGCTGAATTTCCACACGATGCCTGGTCACTAGCATTTGTGTGGCCAATGGCCAATTTTACACTACTTGACCCGGACTCAAGGTAGCGCCGGTCGTCAACCGGGCTGCGTGACAACATCGGAGGCATTCCATTCGATGAAATCACGCATAACTTTCTCAGGAATTATTATGCAATGGTTTACCCTGCCCTATTGCATCGCAGTATCACAACCTTTCTGCTGTTACAGCTCAGCTTGTGAAATTTCAATGATAAGCCGGTTCAGGATAATTTCCTATACGCCTTAACTTGGTACTGGCGGTCGCTGCTGCCCTTCGTCAGAAATGTTTATCGACCTTCCGGTCAAAGATTGAGGAATTTAGAAGTGTGTGAATGGGGAGAGCCGCAAGTTACGCAGTTTGTGTGTAGGGGGCACGACATGTATATGCCACACACCTTCCGCGAAAAGTGGACGTCTTCCACTCAAGCACGGTCAAGAGGACTTATCCGACACTGGGGGTGTGGCTGAGATAGGTTCTTGGTAAATAAATTGGTATGGGACGACACCGACTGTTGGGTAAGGACAGCGGTCAGCTGCTCCTGCAGTCGCCTCTTACGACCAGTAGGAGATACTGTGGGTGTATTCTTTTTAGTGGCCCGCATCCCACACGGACTGCATCACAAATAACTACTCTATCATGAATATTCGATTTAAACACCATATACGTTGACTTTATACTTGGAAAAGTCCTGGAGATAGATTTAGAAATCAAATAGATTACGTCCTTACCAATATTCGCTAGAGATTGTCCAATCAAACAGTCAGATCATATCTAGGGGCAATATGCGGATTCGATCATACTCTCCTCGTAGCTAAAATAATGCTTAAACCCAAAGCACCCAACAATCAAAGAGAGATAAAGAGGATAGAACTAAGAAAGCAAGACGACCTTCTACAGGAAGTACAGAAAAGTATGCCCTCTATTCGTAAAGGAACATCACAAGAAATATGGGAGACTGTTAAACATTGCGTAACAACACCAGTGGATCACTCAAAGAAAAATAATCCGGTGAAACGGAAACACTGGATAGCAGATAAAACTCTTAAAATAATTGAAAATAGAAGAAATTTTTGTAAAAGTGGTGTATATAGTGAAAGGGAAAAAGCTAGTTTAAGAATCCTCAATAAAGAAATAAAACGAAGATGTAAGGCCGACAAAAAACAGTACTATCAAAGTATATGCAAAGAAATTGAGAGACATGGTCAGAATAATCAGCCGAAAGATCTATTTAGAAAAATACGCTACCTGACAAGAGACTTCAGAGCCAGAACTTGGGCCATTGAAGATAACACTGGAACCCTCAGAACAAACAGAGCAGACATAGCGGAGATATGGACATCGTATTGCACGGACCTATATAAAGATGATCAACGCCAAGAGCTTGTTAGCCAAATCTCTGACGAGGTGGAAGAATAACCTGATATACTCGAAAATGAAGTAAGACAGGCTATCAACAAGCTCAAATATAACAAAGCACCAGGTCCAGATATGATAACAGCAGAAATGCTTAAAGCCATAGAAGTAACCGGCGTAAAGTTACTTCATCTACTCTGTAACCAAATATGGCATTCCAAACAATGGCCTGAAGACTGGACAAAATCTACAATAACGACCATACATAAAAAAGGCAGCTTCCATAAATGCGACAATTATAGAACTATCTCTCTTATATCCCATGTCATCAAGATATTGCTACTTATAATCAATGAGAGACTGAAAACATTCCTTCAAAGAGAAATTTCACAAGAGCAAACTGGATTTACCAAAGGTAAAGGCACTCGAGAACACCTGCTGAATATAAGACAGATAATCGAGAAATATAGGGAATTCAACATCCCACTATACATCTGTTTTATAGATTACCGTAAGGCGTTCGACAGGGTCAAGTGGAGACACTTATGGCGAATACTAAAAGAAGTAGGCGTACCACAACATCTAATTACGCTTATAACTGAACTGTATGAACACACTACTGGATCAGTTAAAGTACTTGACACACTTTCGAACGAGTTTCATCCAGAATGGAGTGTCAGACAAAGATGTATACTATCTCCACAAATATTCAACATGTATGGGGAGTATATTATGCGAAGAGCACTTGAAGGATGGGAAAAGGGCATCTCAATAAATGGCCATAAACTAAACAACCTACGTTTCGCAGATGTCACAGCCCTTCTTGCAAATAGTCAAGCAGAGCTGATGAAACTTATACGACTGATCGAAAACGAAAGTCAAATATTTGGTCTGCAATTAAACATATCAAAGACAAAGATCATGATAGTGGATAGACTACACAACAATCATCCACACATAACCACAATTGACCGGTTCGAGGTTGTGAGCTCATACTTATATCTAGGATCATTAATCACAAACACAGGGTCATTACAAGAAGAGATTAAACGTAGAAGTAATCTAGCAAAAGTTGCCACAGCAAAAATCACCAAAATATGGAAGGACTGTCAAATTTCAAGAGCGATAAAGATGAGGTTGATCAACTGCTTAATATTCCTAATACTGACCTTCGGATGTGAATCTTGGACTCTGAGACAATCGGAGAGAAGAAAGATAGACGCCACTGAAATGTTCTGTTGGAGACGAATGTTACGAATTCCTTGGACCGACCGTAGAACACATAATTCAATTTTAAGAAAGCTAAAAGTTAGCCAACGACTCTCTAGTAAAGTCCATCTCCATTAATTAAAATATTTTGGGCATGTTATGAGAGCCAAACACAGAAAACATGGAAAGACTCTTAATACAAGGAAAGGTAGAAGGCCGAAGATCACGAGGAAGATCCCCAACAAGATGGATAGATCAAATTACAGGAATATGCCAAAGACCTAT